AACAACAAACAACCAAACCACTCCCCCCCAACAAAACAAAACAAAACAAAACAAAACAATAACAGAACAAAAACAAAAAGCCCCATGTTATATACACATTCCAGCTAGTTTTTGTTGTCCTAAATTGTTGTACAAGATGCCAAGGTCCTTGGAGCGCTGTTGGGCAATTTGAATACTCCGAGCTGTCCTATCGGCGCGAAGACTGGCACGGATGCTTCATTGCTCCCATCCTATTATTAATAAGCTGATAGTTAAGGGCCCCTTACTCTCCGTAAAAAAAAAATAATTAAAATCCTTTAATCAAAATTTTGATGCAAAGTTGGATGTATGTAGAGCGTTGTGATGTAAAAATAAATTTGAATAAACATTTTGACGGATCAAACCCATGTGATATTTTTTGACGAGTCATCAATTATTTTTTTTATGTTGGTTCCTGTAAAAGGCAATGGCATGCCTAAGTTACGATCTATCTACACGCGATGTCACCGACACGCACTTGACATACTAATTCTTGTGAGTCTGAGCTCATTAACAAGCTTTGAACCTACAGGTATACCAAACAGCGGACACTCCAGTGGCGGTGGGTAGTGAAGGGCTCACAGGCTTGAGACCCTCCCCCCCCCCCCCCCCAACTCTATCCCTAAGCAAATGAAAATAACTAAATAAGCCGTTGAAACCGTTGTGGTCGCACGCAATGAACACGGAGTGATCAACTCGGCGGCTTGCTCGTTTATCAAATCATTGTTGTTGCCGCTTAGGACTATTGTCACCTAACAGCCGGTCAAATGTCTTTAGGGCTCAGCAAGGAACGAGCCCGTACCCACAGCCCCTCCTTATTGAAACCCCTCTTGTAAAAAGGTAGTAGACTTGGAAGAAATAACACAGCACGGAGGGCTCACGCTCTACAAGCCCGGACAATGGGGTGAAAGTTTTCGACACACTTTCGCCCAGTGACTCAGTTACCTACGCGCCCATTGGGCCTTTTTTTAAGATGCGTTCTACTTCCTCGACTACACGGCCTAATCCAGCTCATAGATGGTAAATATTTGGAGTTCTGAGTGTGCATGTTCGTGTGTGTGGCGCTGAGATTTAACAGTTATTAATTACATCGAACCACTTTTGAGCCAATTTTTTCATTAGATGAAAATTAATTAGAGAAATTTGAAGGTGAAACGGTTTCGTCCCCACCATCCAAAAGAACTCAACGTACAACAAAGAGATGGAAGGCAAAGGTGACTCTTCTCGTTTGAATGGTTTTCAAAATGCCGTGGCTAGCCTTGAGTACAGAAAAATCACCACAGTTTTGTTCATATTGCTTGTTATTTGGTGGTAAAGAAGCGGAGGCAACCTAAGCCCCACCCAAATTTTGGTCCACCCACCTCCACTGGGACACTCACATTTTAAAAAAAAGTGAAATTTGAGAGCAGTGGCTCAGTTCTGGAGAGTATACTTTAACAATGCATGCGATCGAAAATTATCAATCTAGCTCCGAAATGTTGGTAGGAATATTGAAAACTATTCTTTTAAAGTTGTCTTTTTTTGGTAAGTATTTTACGGCGCTTTAAAGAGGATTGAGGTAAGGATTTGCTAAGTCACCAGGTCTCTCATACACAGTGCAACAAGCCTTAAAAGTGTAGAAGAATGTTCAGGTCTCAACGTGAATGGTGAAAATATTAATAACATAAGATATGCCAATGACATCGTTTTAATAGCAGATTAAGAAAAGGGCATTCAATCGTTTCTAGATACTAATGTAACGGAAAGTGTATATAAAGGGTTATTGTTAAATGTGAAGGAAACAGAATGTATGGTGTTGTCTGAAGAAACAGTAATTTCTATTTGCAATCTCATGAGATATAGCGAAAAGATCAAACAGGTGCAATAGGTTACTTATCTATGACATTTACATCTGATGCCAAATATTCCACAGAAATAAAACGAAGAATTGCAAGGGCTAAGGGTAGTTTCATTAAATGAGCCCAAATCCTGAAAAATAGAAACATCTCAGTGACAACCAAAGTGAAAGTTCTGAAACGCTATGTATGGTCAACCCTCAGAACTATATGGCTGTCAATGCTGGACAGTCACTGAAGCCAGTGAAAATAAAATAGAAGCAACAGAAATGTGTTTTTTTAGGAGACTGCTGAGAATATCTTAGAAGGAAAAGAAATCTATCAATGAGGTAGTACTTACTTGAAGAAGCCCACGTGAGCCGCTAGCTGACGGAAAAAAACAGTCCAGGGGCAAGTAGTTTTTGGGATCCTTGAATTCGAATAGACATAAATGCCTTAATCTCGATGGAAAAATTGAAGGCAAATGAGGAAGGGGTAGGCCCAGAGCACTATATTTTGAGAGCCTGAACAGATGAGTGATGGGGAAAGATCAGGTTAATGCAGCTTTTTCAAAAGCATCCGAGCAAAACAATGAATGGAGAACCAAAATCGCCGGTGTCTGTCGCAGATCTAGCCTCTGATGAAGAGATGAAGGACCATCAAGCACTACACACAGTGTGTAATAGATGACCATGACGCGTCAAAGGTGCATTAGATGACCTCACTCTGTCAAACGACCTGTAATTTTCCCAAAGTCTGATGGTATCAGTACAGCGCTTGTTTTGTAATGTTCAGGCTCTTAAACACTTGTTCGATTCTCTTGTTGAAAATACATTTTATTATAATTCTGAACTATCCTGCTTTGGATACTGTATTTTTGTTGGTTCGGATTGACTTTCACAAGCAGGGTCGAGGCAGGTCATCTCCTAACCGACCTAAATAATGTTGATGGGGTGCGATACATTTTCAAAGTGCATATTATGCTTTCTTAGGTACTTACCCTGGGGGAACAAGGAAGCTGTAGATTCTGGCACTCATATTGTAAGGGTCATTTTCGTTGCCAAGCAACACATACAGAGTCTTCACTGCGATGTCATAGTCTGCCCACAAGAAGTTCACATAAGTATCCTCCGACTGGTCGGTTCTATAGAGTTGCTGCCATTTTCCTCCGGTATAAAGTCGTCCTATCTCAAAGAAGTAGGTGCCTGAAAAATTACTCTTTTTAGTTTTGGCGAACAGAAGTCTGTCTGTTGGACAATTCGTTAGTTTAACTGAGTGACGCTGGACAACTCGCTCTAATAAAGCACGTTAGTTTAAACCCAACTGACTTTCCTCACTACTAGGTGGTTGGAGGGCGTTTCTGATAGCTTCCCTCTGCTATGTCCATCTGTCGACCTTACTATTTCCTAGTATTTTATTACACTTCTTGAGTTGATGTGCTTCTCTTTACCCAAACTACGCCCCCCACACCCACCGCACTATGAGAAGACCTTATAACCAAAACAACAGAATGTCATGTTGCACAAAACTCGGTAAAGTAATAATAAAAATGTCAATAATATTAATATTTGTATAGCGCATAGCTCCGCTCGTCAGAAAGCCCTATGCACTTTACTCTACAAGTATATTATCATCAGTATTATCCTAGTAGACTCTTGAACATCAAGAAACACCATTTAGAGGGAGTCGGATTCATTTTGAATAAGTATGTCCAGAAGTCACTTAGAGTATAGGAACTAACTACACGGGGAGAGGATCATCATAGCTTCACTCACTACAAGGAGTAAGAGCATCAATATGAATACAGTCCAGATCTACGCCCCAATAAATGATGCTTCGGATGAAGACAAGGATGCCTTTACTAGACTGCTCCAGGCGGTCATTGACAAACCACCAAGGAAGGATGTAAACATCAAGATTGATCAGGAAAACGTAGATTATGAAGGATTTATGGAATAACATGGCTTTGGACAAATGAATGAGAACGGTGAGCGATTTGCAAATATCTATGCTTTCAACAGTTTTGTCTTTGAAGGCTCTGTTTCCCCCCACAAGAGAATCCACAAGGCTACCTGGGTATTACTAGGTAGAGTGACGGAGAACCAGAGATCGATCATTTCTGTATCTCTCGTATGTTCAGACGTTCATGGGAAGATGCCATGTACGGAGAGGGGCACACGATGTCTTGGATCATCATCTGCTGTCAGCAAAACTCAAGATTTGTTTATAAAAGCACGGGACCAGAACATGAACCAAAAGACCGAATTTCCGAGTAAGCCTCTTAAAGACGGACAAAAGATAGAGGAATTTCAGCTGCAGTCGAGGACCAGACTTCAGCCTCTGGTTGATCTTGATAGGGACGACATGGAAGTGGAAATGCACTGGACCAACGTCAAAGAAGTGTTCACTTTAACATGACACATGATATTAAGATCTTATTTCAGAATATATGGAGTCCGATGTCGGGGGTCGTAAGTCTCGGGATACACGAAAAGAGATTCATTTGGGTTTCAACTAATAGAGTTTTGTAAAATTAACAAACTTCAAATATTGAATGGCAGAACAAATAGAGACGATGAGGGAGCATCACCTGTTTTGAAATCAACGGCAAGTCATTCGTAGCAGACTACATCACTGTAAGCACGGATGGGTTTCAGGTTGTAATTTGTTTTTTAAATACTCCCTAGATCAGAGTCTGGCCATGTTCCTCTTAGTCTAACGTTTACAACCACTGGCATCGAACGTAACGTTTCATGTCTTTTATAAGATATCCAAAAATATGTTCGGACCAACATCGAGAGAGAGAGAGAGAGAGAGAGAGAGAGAGAGAGAGAGAGAGAGAGAGAGAGAGAGAGAGAGAGAGAGACAGCGAGACAGAGACAGAGAGACAGAGAGAGACAGAGAGAGAGAGACAGAGAGAGAGAGAGAGAGAGAGAGAGAGAGAGAGAGAGAGAGAGAGAGAGAGAGAGAGAGAGAGCGGGCGGGGTGGGGTCAGGTGGGGTAGCGATGATAATGTGTTGATGATGACACTATGAGTGTAGACTCTATACAATATATTAAAACGATCTCACTGGACTAGATGTACTGTCAAACCTTTTTCATGAGCCGGCACAATGCCTAAAGTCACATAGGAGCTCTCTATCTCCACCACGATAGCACTGAACGGTGTTACCATTTTTGCTGCGTTGGGGGGAGTAACGTTGTACTCAGCTTTGCTGATGCCTTCTAGCGTGCTCATCTCAATGATCCTGGAGGAAATGGCGAGCAGTCTCAGAGAATGATGGTGATCTCTCTCTCTCTCTCTCTCTCTCTCTCTCTCTCTCTCTCTCTCTCTCTCTCTCTCTCTCTCTCTCTCTCTCTCTCTCTCTCTTTATATATATATATATATATATATATATATATATATATATATATATATATATATATAAAACAACAGACGTTATAAAGTGCCTCAGGGTTTTGTTTTCGACGAAATGAGACCCCGAGAAGCATTGGGTTAACAAATTAGTAAATTAACTGGAGCATTTAGTCTTCACAAATTATGAAAGGTTGGTTCTCTTGTGTACACCGTACTTGCTTCAAACGCGTATTTCTCTCTATATAGATATGTATATATGCATAATATAATACATACTTGTAATGCGTAATTCTCGACGTTCCAGCAATTACTAGTTAGCTCTCAACCTTTCAAGATTCTGTGTTTCTATGAGTAGCAAAATTTAGCTTATGCAAGGAGGGTCAAATAAAAAACAACAGTAAACCTTACAGATTACATGAAAAATAATGTAGAGAAAAATATAGCTGGAGTAAAAGTAACACAAGTAGCTTAGTACCGGTAAACTTGAATGATGTCCAGTCGTGTAATAAGAGTCAGTAAAGATTAAGCTGAATGAGCTAATCTTTTTTGTCATAAAAGTGGACAGGTAAATGGGTAACCTGTATACTGAAGCAGGGGGGGGGGGTCGTAGCATGAGATCAATAAATGTATCTTTACTTCAACCTTGTATTGGTTTGTTTTTTAAACATGGTATATGACCTACTGATTAGCCACATCGTCCATGTCTCCATGGGAGTTCAATGGCAGAAGTGTAACCCCGCGGGCTGGGTCAAGGGACAACACTCCATCTGTAGACGAAAGCCCATGAACATTGTGATTGTCAGTAGGTGGGTAATAATGGAGAAAGTTCACTTTTACAGTACTTGCAACACAATAAGATCATATAAATACCGAAGATTAGAGGTGTTACGAGAGAGTAACAAACACAAGAAAGAAGGAGGAGAGATCAGGGCGATTTATGTTTGATGGTAAAGAAGAAGCAAACCACACTAGAGCACCCGCCAACCACCCGTTCATGAATTAAAGCAGACATCGGTTGCAGAGGCACTGCTGACTCAAATTAAGCAGTCAGGACAAAATGAGAAATGCCCCCCCCCCCCAACCCCTGCCACCGGCTACCTCTATGTCCTTCTTTACTACATAGGTAGGGTACAGGTGTGCTCGTTTTGTTATTAACAACAATAATATGTTGAAATATGCTTTAAATGGCAGGAGCGAGAAAGGGTGAAATTAAAGGGGAAAAACAACAATTCTTTCATATATCTTTTGTTTTTTACCCTCACTAAATGTGATTGTTAGAATTATTTTCACGTTTTAGCAAAACTATACAGCTCTCTTATTTGATATGCTTATATCCAAAAAAACAACAAAAATGTGACTTAATGAAGAGAAAGCTTTAGCATAATGTTGTGTTCTTCTCGTTCCAAATTTCACTTTAAAATGTCATTTTGAAGTTGTGACAATAACTGACTGATAGCAGAATTCTTCGCCTTTCTTGATTAGCTTATTGTAAATAGATTTATAGTATTTCCTCTTCAAATGTTAACATAACAAGTTCAAATGTGACATGCAAAAACAAATCTTACATTTGTGAAGTTATGTGACATGAAAAATTCGTACCTTTTAAGATAAAATGTGAACATAGCAACTTCAAATAGAGCACAATTTCTTTTTCAAATGTGACTTTGCACTCTCACGTGTGACATCAATGAAAATATGGGTCATATTGTCTGTGACGAAAGGAAAAATGCCGGCGATTTACTCTAAAACTGCTTAGGCAGACAAAACCTGAACTTACAAGGCATAATATCTAAGAGGTGAAGACTACTTGCAAATTGCGTATTTTGTAGTCGTAAATAGTACAACTGCCTACAATAATGTTAAAAAAGCAAAGAAGAGAGATGGCAAAGTTACAATGCTCCGTGGTGATAAGAGACAATGATGGGTGTTTGACGACATGAATGCTGTTGTCTAGGATATTGTTGACAGGCTCCTGACTTTATTATTGGCATGACCAATAGAGAACCCAGAATCTGCATCCTAGTCCATGGTGTGGCGGTTAGGTGCTTCGCTGTTGCACGCAGAAATCTGATTTTGATTCCTGAGTCGAGGGAAATTTTATGGAGTATCTCGGTCTTTCTGCTGGGATGATTGATCCCTCCCTCTCAACCCGGATTGGCCCTGACTGATAGGTGGAGCGGAATGAACTAATAAATTGGGACGAGGGGCTATAAAACACCTACATTCAGAGTACACCTTCCACTAGCCTGCCATGTAAGCGGGACAACCATCAGCCCAGTTCTCGACGGGCTCCTTGGCACCATGAAAAAGTTAGAAGGCACACTAATTGCTGAAAGAAATTCCAACTGCATCAGAGATCTGAACCATGCATCAACATGGCTTATGCATCACGCACAAGCCAGAGGAAACATCTACAATGATAGATCAGGCATAAACCTGAGCATGAAACAAATCAATGGACGATCTCGTCGATGGACTAGAGCAGAGTATGTCGTCCAAGGCCGGCGCGGAACAAATTTTACAATGACTTTCGCTGTGAGTAATGACGATGGCCTTATATTCAATGAACAACTCTGAAGGAGGAATGACAAGGGACCTTAGGTGAATGCATTTCTAGTAAAAGATAATGCATTTGCTCTTAGGCAAGCAGCCAAACTTCAGTTGCCTTCAAAATTTTGGTCTCCGGTCTCTGACTCCTTTCTGCCCTTTTCTGAATATCTGCGAAAATGCAGCTGCTACACGGTGCAAACAAAATAAACAATGGACGAAGTTTGCCCCTAGCACTCCCCCCCCCTCTCTCTCTCTCTCTCTCTCTCTCTCTCTCTCTCTCTCTCTCTCTCTCTCTCTCTTTCTCTCTCTCTTTCTCAGTAAGTCTTACTTCTTTGTCGTCAATATACTGTTTCTGCTTGTTTTGCCTTTCCGGCACTATTCCGTTATTGTTTTGATCTTCTTCTCTTTAACCTCAAACAAACCTCCCCCCCCCCTCTGTTTCCCTTTAACAGCCTGTCTATATTATGTCTGTCTCTGCCCCTCTCTGCCTCTCGTCTGTCTATCCATCCACCTATCTATATGCCCCATCCCCTACCACCTGCGCAGGTTCATATCAAAGAAAGCAGGGCGCCTTCTATTTCTCCGCCTTATGAAGGATTTTTCTTTTTCATCAATGATGGTATATATTGTTACGTCCCAAAGACAATGAGATTATTCAGGAAGCGCGACCCTACCATTCAAGGCCACCCCGGTCAAAAAGGGATACAACATCACAGCAGAAAAACCAGTTTACTCACGATTCCTACGTGCTCTAGGGAAGCGCCTAACCGCTACGCCACAAATGTGGTGCACCTTTGGTACAACGTGTAGACTAGACAAACCTACCCGTCACGAAAGAGGTTGTGTCATTTTTGGCGCCCAGAATCCCTTTATCAAACGGCGTATCGATGCTGAAGTCAAGGGTCGCGATCTCCGTCCTTTCCCCGGTCAAGGAGTCCACTGAGTAGTAGACAGCGCCGCCACTCATCTGATTGGCCATACCAAACAGTTTTGGGGCGGGATCTGTGTTTTGTGATCGTGACATGGTGGTGTCGTACTTGGGTAGAGGTTGTGGCATCTTACGATACATCAACGGCCTCGCAGTCGAGCCGAAATAATGTCCATCTCTGGAAGACGTCCCAATGAATGATAATGCCTTTCGGAGTCTCTCTTTCCCTTCGTCACTTGAATCGGCAGAAGAAATTCGATAATTCACTAAACTATTTGATTTCTTTGTAATTAAAAATTCTTGAAGAGAGGTGAAAATCTCTTTGGGTTTTGATCTTGGAGCTAGTTGCATCTCTTCTGAGCCTCCTGGGCCAGATGAGTAGGTTTCCAATGCACCACTGGCTTGACTTCCTGTTTCTGTATCAGCATCTAGAAGCTGTAAATCGCCCGAGTTGTCTGTCCTTTGCACTTCGGATGTCTTACGCACCTGTATGTCTGCACATTGGTAGAAAGTTGTCTCCCCTGGTTTGTGCGCCACATATCGGGCTCTGATGACGCAATGGTCACAGTCCTGATTTGGCAGAGTCTGTGGAAGATAGCCAGAATTACAAACGTGTCTCCATTGAGAAGCCCAGCATAAACAACAATTACAGTAGTGCCTGTAACAATACTACCACCGCCACCACCATTTAAAAGAACAAAGCAGCAGCACAGTAGCAACAGCAGTTACACCACCCCTACTACGGACCATCACTGCTGCCACCGCCACTCCCACCACCACTGCCACCGCCACTGCCACCACCAATACCAATATCAACAACAACGACTTGACAACAACTACAACTACAACAATAGAAACAGTAAAAACAGTGGATCTTCACTTTTACTGAGTCGTCCATCTCTAAGTCTCTCCTCCGTTGACAACAAAAGTTACTGTAGAGGCACAGTCTCTTTGATAACTTAAAGCCAAACACTAACATACCACCACTGCGGTGTAGTTCCGTTGGTGAGCTTGGTCATATTCATCTTCGTCATGTACCATTGCCAGAATGATAAACGGGTCTGGTGGTACATCAGCATCAGAGTTCGCCACAGCAAAAGCGATATCCATGTATCCTTGGACAGTATGGTATTTGGAGGGGGGAAGGTTGTGGTGGGGGGGGGTACAATAAAAGGGTGTGAGGATGTATATGTACATATATACACGCTCATGTATGGGGACGGAGAGGGTAGGGAAGGCTGCGTAGGCTATGTTGGTAAAAGACGAACGGGTGCCCATTGGTCAAAACACATAATCAGTTCGAATCGGGTAAGGTCGGGTAATTGTACTGATATGTGCACATTCTGTTAATGGTCTCTGCTATGCTACATCAAATTTGCCAAAGAAGTTTGTTTGGAAAGTCCATTAACGCCTGTCACATTCCGCCTATGCTGCCTGCAAAACAAAAGGTCAGAAGTACTAGCCTAATTGTTTTCATCAGACGAATCAAATTGTGACCTAGAAAATTAAACACGTTTGATTTGGGAGAATTTGATCCTATTTGTCCAAAGTCCAACTCTAGGGTTCGCATAGGAGCCACGGTTCCTGGCCGCCGTCGAGGAAGATGGTAACTTACAAAGTAGGAGATTGCTAGAAGCACTTGAAGTATGGTGTGGTAAAACAGACAGGCCTAGCAAACCGACAGTGGATATTGAAATGTTCGAAACAAAAGAAAGGCGAAAAAAACCCCGGACAGATTCATTAACTCAAAGAGACCAAGACAAGCAGGGCACAAGAGAAATGGGGTTCAATGACTAAGTCAAAGAGGTAGTTACGTGGGCTTTCGTGGCCTAGAGGTTAAGGTGTTCGCCTCTCATTCATAGGTCACGGGTTCGAATCCGGGTAGCGACAGAAAACTATTTTCTTCTCTAAAATTATGTTCTTTCGGCTGTTTTCGTCTCCACTTTCTGCCCTCACCCCCTCACCTCCTTTACCACGTCCTCTTTCTGCAGCCTTTCTACTACTACTACTCCTTGGCTCCTTCTTACGGCTGTCTTTCAGCCACACCCCTGATCTTCTGGTAGGAAAGATCTACCCCTATCCTTTTCTGACAAGGACGAAAAATATCGGAGGTCCCGTAAGCAAGTTGCGCTTGTCAAAGATCCCTTTGTTTAAAATCGATAAGAGTAAGCTTCGGCCTCCATCCCGGCAAAATTCCAAATTTCCTACCAATTGAAAATGTTTAATGTGTCCTGCGCGCTCATGAGATCTTAATAATGCAGTTGCGAGTGCCGTAAAACACATGCCCCCCCCCCCCCCCCCAAATAAAAAGAAGTAGTTGCCATGAAGAAGAAACTATTCAAAAGGCGGAAAAACCCGAAGACAGATTATAAGGATTACATACTTCATTGCAGTGCACAATGTTTTGGAAAACGAATGGTAAAAACAGTCAAGAAAGAATAATGGAACCAGTATGAAAACCACCCGACGAGTATTTGCAAAGAAGTACCAAGGGAGTTCTACAAATTTTCATGAGCATTTAAATAAGAAAGTTCCAACTTAGAAACATCATAAACGACAAGGAAGGCAAACCAATCTTCTATAAAGACATAATAAAAGAAAGATGGGGAGAATATTTCAAAGAGTTGCTTAATCCACATTAAATAGCGGAAACAACCTCAAATTTCACCCAGAAATACAAAGAAAACGAAGAATCACCAATGCTTAAAAGTGAAATGGAAGCAGCAATAAAGAAGAGCCAAAACAAATCACCGGGTATTGATGAAATAACCTGATGGAATAACTATCGTATCCATACAGTCATTCGGAGATGCCGGCTTCACAAAGCTGACAAGAATCTTTAGTGTAGCAGGGAAAGAACGCCGGACCACCAGATGACTTGCAAAGTGCCATCATTGTGTCAGTATGCAATGAATAAAGGGGAAAAAAAGAAAGATTATACCTGCAGGGAATTCTCTTTACTTAGTCATACGAGGAAGATAGGCAAATATATTTTAAAAGGATAAGACCACTGTGGGAAATACAGCTTAGCAGAGCACAATTCGGATTAAGAAGAGGGGAAAATGGCGCAGACGCAATGTTTTCACTTAGACACCCATGAGAAACACTAGCTTTCATCACCCAAGAAAAAGCCTTCAATAGAGTAGACCGGGACAAATTGCAAACAGTGTTAGAAGAATACGGAATCCAGAGACAGCTACTGGACAAACAATATGACACAATATGAAAGCAGCAAAACAATAGTAGGGACAACACAAGAAAAAAACACAGTGGTTCCAAATAAGATCTGGAGTAAAACAATAATGAGTACCTATTCTCTTAACGACCAATAACATAAAAGCATGTTTATATACATGGACAAAATGCTATTAGAAGCTAAACGAGCTTCTTTTTGCAGATGACCAGAGCATTCTAAGCTACAACGAGAATGCACCCCAAGAACATGTAAACAAACTAAACAAAAGCTGCAAAGATCACAAATATATCAGCACCAGCAAATCGAGGCTGTGAAAAACAGCAAAACACCAGGCTTGCTTCACAGTCGCCAAAAACAAAATCAAGCAAGTAAGAGTTCAAATACCTGGTAAGTGTGTTCATCCAAGACGGAAAGACGGACAGAGAAATAAATACCAGAATAAAATAGGCCAATGCTGTGACTTACCAATCGGCACCATTATTTTTACATCCCAATATCACAATGAAAACAAAGCCAACTTATTAACAGCATCCTCACACTGACACTGTTAACACAGACGGAAAATAACCGCGAGTTTACCAAACAAAATCAACGCATCTGAAATGAGATGCCTTGGAAAAATCTTTAAACATCACACGAAGGGACATGGTGATAAGCGAGACAATCAGAGAACAAGTTGGCTCAATCCCCGCTTGCAACATAAGGCAAACAAAGAATTAAATGGTTTAAGCATCTGTCGACACAACCAGACAGAATAGCAGTGAGAGCATACAATTAGGGAACTGATAGATATTGAGGAAGATGCAGGCCCAGGGAAATATGGATAGAGGGGGTCACAGAAAAATTAGTTAAGAACAACGTAACCATGCAACTGCAATACAAGAGACAAGAAAAAGATGTGTGCTTCTCCATGGACACCACAAGATAATAGAGAAGGGGAGAGATAAAACAGGAAGTAAGCGCTAATATTTGATATCCTGGCTTTTCCCCACTCCATAAACAACAACAAAAAAGGACGTTCTGTTATGTTGACTTGATATTGGGCTCTTCTCCGAATGACCAAAACAAGAGACAAGCGTTCCATTTCCGCTTAGAAAAGTCTGTTTTAAACTCTCATTTCAGTGTTTCTGCCAAGATGCCGTATACCACTCAGTCCAGTTTATTCACCTTCTATATGATTTAAATTATGTCGATGAGACCGTTAAGCACAAAAATCGTTTTTTTTACAATAAATCATTGGGGGCAATAACAACAGTAGCACCTCCAACAACAACAGCAACAATACGATTAAAACAACCGAAAGGATTCCCCCAAAATAACCCGCCAAACAACAACTAAGCGCTCCTCCGTCCAAGTGAATGAAATCACGAAGTCCCTATTTTGTCGACCTCGGAGTTGCTGCGTCAGCGCGTATTCTTTTAATTTTAAAAAAGTTTTAGTAGAAGTTTTACGGCGCTCGCAACTGCATAAGGTCATATGAGCGCCAGGCGTATTTTTAAATTAGAGAGATAGATAGATAGATAGATAGATAGATATTTTATTACCTGGGTAGCCTATACTGTAGTGGTTGAAATTTTGCTGCCATTTCACATATTGGACGCCCTCCGTCTAAAGTGATATTGGGTGGGAATTGACCAGGTATGCCTCCACATTCTGCTCCGTGCCGGAAACATGTTGGACTGCCAGGCTAGAGAGCGAGAGAGTGATGAATAGATATGAGCACATGCATACCTCCATATCCCAATACCCCATACACAACATACAAAGAGGGTGCAAATTTGCGTATGTTTGAGTGTGTGCGTGCGTACGTGTGTATGTCTACATGTACGATGGGGGTTCAAGAAGTCTTTGGTCTAAATACATGTATGCTACATGGAAGGTGGGGTTTCTCTACTAATTCGGCAGCTGTGTCGAGTATTGATCTCCCCTGGATTCGTTTCTTTGGTCGTCTCTGTTCAGTGATCTTTCTGTTTGGGTGGTTTGTGTCTAGTGTCTTGTAGCTCTCACCCATCTACAAAACTGCTGCCTCTCTCCGCTGGTCCAAAGGTTCCGGGTTGGGGTGGATTTTGCAAGCTGCAGTTGGAGTGGATCTCAAAGCTCCTGAGACAAATTGTATTGCTTGATTCTGAACTTTGTCAAGTGACTTCTGAGTTGGTTTGCTGCAGATTGTCTGTAGGGTTAAGTTGTATTCCAAGGCAGAGGGTACATAGCCAACATATAGCTGTCTGAGTGCATCCTTGCCCACCCCCTATGAGGTGCTAGCCAGCCGTCTGAGCAGGTTAAGTCTCTCGTAGGCCTTAGCCTTTAGGTTCCAGATATGGTTTCTGCATGAAAACTGTCTGTCCAGCTGGATCCCGAGATAGGTTGAGTTTTCAACTTTTTCGAGTTTGGTTTCTGCAAGTGAGATGGTGAGATTTTTTTTTTGCGACCCTGTGACTTTTCGTAAAGACGGTGTAGATTGTCTTGGTATAATTTGCTTTTAGTTTCCACTCGCAGCAGCAGTGGTCAAATTTATCTAGGGCCTCATTTATAAGTCCGGTACTGATGCCAGCTTGTTTACTCGAATGCCAGATGGCTAGGTCATTGGCATAGTATCTCAGGCTGGTCGTTGATGAAAGTAAGGAGAAGTGTGCAACTCAGAGAGGAAACCTGCGGTAGCTCCTCCTCGAGTACTGCTTTGGATGACACACCATTGTTCATCCTGGTCTGGATTGTCCATTCTCTAAGGAAGAACTAGATAGATAGATAGATAGATAGATAGATAGATAGATAGATAGATAGATAGATAGACGTGGCTCATCTTTGTAGGTGGGGGATGGGTGGTAGGTGCCACAACATATGAGGGTCAAACAGTCCAGAACCGTGATGTGAGAGTAAGAGAAAGAGTACATGGCAAACAGTTTCGTCGAAACTCTAATTCTTGATACATTTACGGTCGTGAAGTCATTGATGTCCAAAGAGGTAATGAAGTCTCATGGAGATAGTGGACAAACAATACACTATAATACCATAACATGTACTATCCTTAAAGTTTCAGCCGTGGCCTCCTGGGTCTACTCTACAGGCTCATGTACTACATGTATAGTGCGGTAAAAAATTCCTGGCGAATTTATTTTTAGATATCTCCTTAATTAACAATCGAACATAAACTCTCCAGCTTTTGCACAGTGACTTGTATCCATTTGTCTTAACAGATCAATATTATTGTAAATACCTGTTAGCTCTATTCTAGAAAATTCCTTAATAAATACTAATATAAAATCCCAGTGGGTGGTTTCTAATGGATTAAAAAGGTTTACCGTTGGGACAATATTCACTCTTAAAAGCAAGTCGGTCATTTTGTTCTAATCTCGAGATTATCTTTATTGAACACATGTTTTGAGAACTTTTAGTGTAAAAAAGTGTTCACCATAAAATTATTTTCTTGTAACTAGTATTGCCATTAAAAAGAGTCATAGATGAGCTGTGGCGTAAGCCATATGCGTATGCAAAATGTGTGTGAGAAGCGGGAAGAGCTGTGAACAATTTCATTTTCCGCGTAAAGGAGACTTGTAGTTCTAGTATTTTATATAAATTACTGAAGAAAAGTTTTTTAATCGAACCTCAGATGTGGTGGAAAAATGTGATTAAGTTACGATAAATTGATACAAACTGAAGAGCAAAGTATGGGTAACATCGATTTACCCTTTAAAGAGATATTTGAGGATAAGTTGCGCCACGAATTTTTGACCGCATTATAGTACTTAGTACCTGAGCTTCTGAAGAAATTCCCGTTGCGGTTTTCATAATATACTCGGCTTGTCCTAACGGGAAACGAACATAAAATAACGAGGTTGTACCTTTTAAATGACCTTGCAGCGTTAAAAAGAGCGTTAGACCCGTACTTTTAAACAAGTCAGACTCCTTCATGCTGAGGTGTATGGGAAGGCAATCTATAGCGTATAATCCACGCTTTACTTGTACTCATCAAGTTTAAACGTGCAATCGGGCGCGGAGGGCTATTCTGCCAGACTTCATACTCGAGGGATTGTCACAACTACAAAAGATAAAAATTATGAACACATATCTGACCTCGGACACATCCATATCCCCACGTTGTCGAGGAGAGATCAAACACAGATGTCCAGATGCTGAGCCAGACCAGGTCAACATGAGAACGAATGCTGTGAGTGTGTGTATCGTTAGGCACTCCATACCTTCACTCTGGATACTGATAAAATAGGAGCAAGGTAATCTGGAATTTGAACATCCTTTCACAATGAGTATAGTATTTCTGGGTAAGTCGAACAATTGAATAAATAAACAAAGATGAAAAAAAAAATAATAAAGCACAAGAAAAGATAAATAATGATATTATTGTCTTCTACGGGAATAAGTTGTGAACTACTCTAAAGGAATACTAGAAGTAGAATACGCTGGGAAATTGTCAAATACATTAAATAGATGGGCATTTTTGGATAACTAAGTTCAAAAGACTTACCTACATAACATGCATCTAAATTACTGGCTAAAAAAGGGAAAATCTTATTTATACCCAGTGTACATTGCAGACAGTTTCATCTAATTCAAATTCGATATGATAGAATGAATTTCGAAGACGGCCAGATTTTCGTTCTTGGATGGGCAAAAGCTATAATTATGCATAATTTCATAAAATTATCCTCCAACTTCAAACATGATTGTCTAGGTGTGATCAGTTCCAGTTTAATAATTTAAAAAAATACAAAGACGACATCATCATCATCAACATCATCATCCTCATCATCATCATTTTCATCAGCAACAGCAACAACAACAACAACAACAACAACAGCAACAACAACAACAACAACAACAACAACAACAACAACCTGCCAATCCGAAGGCTACTATGCAATGCAGGGTCAGATCTTACGTTAGCTCACGGAATGCCAGTCTCTTAAAAACGATTCCGCATTAAATTTGATTAAACAAAGCAGAGGTCAGTTTGATATGGTGAGCACTGGCCGGCACCATCTCACAAGTGTATAAAACTATAATATCAAATCATAGGGGTTTGACGAAAGTTTGTGTACTATGATTTGCATATCATAATTAAGACGTCTTCCTCGAAAGATTTTAGTTTCTGTCGCGCGTATCGATTTTAGAATCACCAAGGGACTCGGCGAGTCGTTGTTGTTGTTTTTTTTTTTTCGCCCTCATCCAAGAAGGCTAGATGTTAGATCTTACTTACGTTAAGATCAGGGGTGTGGTGCGGCTGAAAGACAGCGGCAAGAAAGAGCCAAGGGGGAGAAGTAGGCAGCAGAAAGAGCCAGGAGCCTATAGGAAGTACAAAAC